AACCGTAATGTTACAACGACCAATTCATTGAAATTGTTCCCAAATTCATCTTTTGTTTTCTTAAGAACAGTCTTAATTGGCCTCATTTGCATCTCTCATCTACAATTACCGCAATTCTGCTGAGCATCTTCAACCCAGCGCAGTGTTTTCGCTGTTCTTTCGCTGGAAGGAAAGTGGCTCTGCCACCCCGTCAGAATTTCACCCCCACGGAGGAGATTTCTGCACGGTGAGGTGTAAGTTCTTATGTGGAGCACATACCATGAGTCTCTGGTCGAATTATTCTCCGTGTGTGGCTAATAAATTTCCCGGAACTAAATGGTTAGTTTGCGGTTCTCATTTCTCACTGAGTTTCGTGGCTTAAATTATGAATATAAATTATCTACCTACCACTTTGCAAGTGAGTGTGGGAGAGGGGGATGTTATGGTGTGGGCATTCTTTTCACCTTTTGGATAGTGTATATATATTCCAGGGGTTGAATTATGTGAATGGGGGTGCGCTTAATGTCGTCCGAGAAGAGAGAAACTTTCAACCTCAATGGCCACTTTCACTGAACTTCCCTGCAATTCTGTCCGTAAAATACAAAACACTGGCGCGCCATTAATACCCTCCAGGAATACCCCATTGGCAGAGGAACAATAGGGGGCGCCTCCAGCCACTCCAGCGGTGACATAGAAAGAAACAAGACGTCCTCAAATGGCAAGAAGGCACAAATTCCACTCAAACACTCCATCTCTCTCGCTTGCTTGACAATTATTCTAATAGGAGAATTGGTCGCCACCCCTCGTCTTTTGGGCAGAAAGGCGAGGAATGAAATGGTCTGACTGAAACAACAAACACCATTAGAGTGTCATTAGGGATTTTCTTCCGACAGTGTGATTTGTTCACGACGAACAATTCGCCGTCTCTTTGGGGCCTCCTGTGGAGAATGTTGACTGGTCACACAATGACACTGGAATAATAAATTTATATCAATTTCACCATTCACTCCTGACGCCGCCAAATTACCTTGTTTGATTTTTCACCCCCAATTGAGCACCCGCAGTCATTGAGCCCCTGTTTTCCGTCGGGAAAAACAAGAGGACACACTCAGCATTGTGTATTAGAAATTACTCTCATTCAACAAATTTATCTGCCTTTTATACTCATTCTGTGCATAAGAATATAATTGTGCTAGAATGCGAATTTTTAAGTAAATCTCTCCATAATTCTGACATAACCTATAGAAGAAAAAAAGTTTTTTTTTTATTGATTCTGTGTGAAAATTGAAGAAAATCAAAAAATGAGATGATTTTTCCGGTAAAATAAACAATGAGGAAATGAATATTACAAAATTCTGAACACTTTCATTTCTTTTCACCACTTCTGACTATAATTATCTCCCCTTGGGCAAATCTATAAGCCTATGATTAGATGTCGAATTAATTATGTTAACTTGTATTTGTCGTCGTTCATTATGCGCTAACTTTGTGCGGCGTAGAGACAAACGTCTTGGAGTTTAATAAGTGATGTGTCAAGTTGAACTTTTCACCCGCAAAATGCATTTTCCTGAGACATTGGCAATGTTTTGGGGGGAAATTCAAAGAAGCAGAATTTTATATTTATCCGAAGACAAAGTGAATAGGAAGTTGAGAAACTTCTTGTCAGACAATTTGTATTCTTTTGTGCAAAAAAAAGTTCTCTTATACTATGGTTGTAACCTGAATTACTTTTCGATAGATGCGCACACAAAATCTCTCACAGTTGGGATAAGGAAGGAACATTGAGTTCACGGGGAGAAAACTTTAATTTACATCTTCGAGAACTTTGACGGTATAGTTTTAGTGGTTGGAAGTTGGTAAGGAGCCAGAGAGAGAGAGAGAGAGAGAGAAAAAAGCAGCAGTTCAGCAATTTTCGAACATACGAAACACTTTGTGGGCAAAGCTTTGGTGATTATATTACGTGTTCATGCTGGAATGGATTTAACAAAAGGGGCAAATCACAACGCGATTTAATGGCTTCAATCGAATAATTAAATGTTTGAATTAAAATAATCAAAAAAAATTATTTTCTCAAAGTAAAATTGCAAAACAATCCAAAATTTGAATAAAAATAGCAACAAATCAAGAATTTATTGACATTTTTATGAAAAAAAATCAAATTCTGATATAAAAAGTTCCGAAAAAAATCAAAAAAAATTATTGAAATTTTTATCCACAAAAAAAATTAAATTAACATTTTCATTTGTATGAAAAAAAAATTTAAGAAACATCACAAGGAATCCAAAAAAGATTAAAATTTGTATAAAATAATAAAAAGTTGAATAAAAATTACGCAAAAAATCAAAAATTTATTGAAATTTCTTTAATACATTTAAAATTTGAGTAAAAATCACGAGATAATCAAGAAATAATTGTATATTTACAAAGTTAATGATCTCAAATCGCGTGTGATTGCCCCCTTGGGATTTAATTTTAACATTAAATTACTCTCTTTTAATTTTCCGATGCACTTTTCACCCCTTTAGAGTATGGGCGCTCTTTGAGTGGATTTTCCGATTTTCCCGCGGGCACTTTTCAAATGAGATTTTCTAGTGGAGAAAAGTGAAGGAAAAGTGTGCTTTGCCATCACTAAACAGCCATAAAAATTCTCCAGGAGAGATTGAAGAGGGGCGCGGCCAAGAATGGTCCACAATGGTCCCGTTTTACTGCGTCAAGAGGAGGGAAATTGGGAGCAATCACAGTGCTATAAATTTTAAGACGATCAATTTTTCAAACCAAGAAGAAGAAGAAAAAAAACTGTGCGGAGAGTCAGCAAAATTGAGACTTCCGCCATCGATAAATTCTTGAGTCTTTCGTTTTTCTCCTCTTTCAGAGTTGGGGGGGGGGGACCTTTTGGCGCTCGTCTTGGCGCGGGCACCCCCATGAGACACCCCTAATGACAGCAATTTCGTACGGGAGGAAATCATCTGTCGATTTGGACAGGGACAAAAGTGGAGCGAAAGAAGCATATTTTCAGAAAGGAGTGAAAAGGGTCGAACATGTTGAGATCTTACGATTATTTTTCACTTCAAGACTGTGCCATAAATTCGTCCATTTCACTCCTTTTCTTGTCCAAGCAAGGAGGAATCATTAATATTTTCTTTACCGGGAGGGATGAAAGTTCTCAATAGCGTGGCTTTTCCTCTCAATTGACGCTCGTGGAAAAAGAATTGGCAGTGATTTTGCTTGAAATTTCGCAATTTCATGAGATTTAAGGGAAATTATACTACACAAGAGAAGCTGAAGAGAGAAAGCAAAGTTGGGCAAATTTATAGCAAAAGAATCACTCTGGACTATGAGAGAGTTGAAGAGTACTTTAGTGTTGATCTTGACTTATGAAAAATTCTAAGACTTTCGACCTATCTCAACATCTTTCCTGGCAAAAGAACGCACACTTTACATATTTTTCTCCTAAGAATAACTTGGAATGGTTTATTTTCTCTTCTATCCCACACTTTTGCCGTTCGACTGCTGTCACGGCGACGCGAAAAATGGAATTGTTAAGTGGAAGAGAAAAGTTCTATCCCAGTGATTTTGCAATTGAACCAGAGAAGAAGAAGAAACAAAAAGAGTGGCAAATTCATGCTCCTCGACAACTTCCATTCTTGCATGAGAATCTCACACTTGATCCATATTCTATGATTAATGAAGTGGTTTTCCTGTGCGAATTGTGGAGGGGGTGAAAAGTTCTCGGGCTGCATAAAATGCCAAGTTGAGTCTCTTTTGCATTTTTCACACTATGCACCGCCATATTGCATCTCTGCCACACATATATATGTTGCTCATCCTTGGCAAAAAGCATCACGCGGACGACCAAGGCATGATTCCCACAGCAAAAGCACGAAGAAGTGTGAGATAACTTGCGAGAAGAGAGAGAGAGACAGAGAGAGTAGAGAAGGAGAATAATCTCGTTTTAATTTATTTTATTGTTCTACACCCACTTGGATGGCGGTGTGGGGGTGAAAAAGGGCCACCAAAGCAGCATAAAAATGATGATTTATGATTTTTTTCTCTCTCCTCGTCCAGCGCCACCCCCACACCTTCTGACACGTTAAATTCCAGTAGAACAACTTTCACATCTCTGTCTATAATATTTTCTGGGGCTTTTTTCCGTTCGCCCATTCTTGATGCTTCACAGCATACAAAAGCACTTTTGCAACCCTCGCAGGGCACTTTTTTTTGCAGGCGCCACCCTATGGGTTTTCTGGGAGTAATTTGTGCACCCCGAAGGCGATATTGAAAAGTTTAACCCCAGACACAGTGAGCGAGAGAGATTTTTTGCCGAGCGACTGTAATCATGGGATTGAGGGGTGGAAAAAGGGCGCATAAATGATTGTTTTTGTCAGTATGACGTTGCATTGGATCATTAAAAAAGCATTAAAAGTCTATAAAGAAAGTCGAAATTCTTGTATGGCAATATTTGTCACATAACTGTCCACCAGAGGAAGGAGTCTTTTTGCTTATATGATTTGTTGTGCTTCTTATATTATTCTTCAAAACATTGTTACCAAAAGTCTGTACTTCTTGGCATTCTTTTGTGTAAATCTTTTTTTTTCAAATTATTCTTTGTGAAAACACCTTTTTAAAGCAACTTCTGGCGATGAGCATTTTGGCCATATTGCTCTTAAAATTACGTTTATTGATTGTTCAAACGAACCAAGATAATTGAGGAATTAAAAGTTAATTGATTAAATTGCTCCACATTCGATTGTGGCAAATAAATGTCACAAAATTTAATAACTCTCTGTGTTTGTATCGCCATAATATGCGCACAAATATCAATCCAGAGACTACGAATTTATCAATATTTTCTATGTGTAATTAAAAGTGGAAGTATTTTTGACTGAAAACAGTGACATTTGCCCATGATGATAAAATGTTTCAATGTTGGAGTTGTGTTGCAAACAGGAATTATTGAATAATTCTATCTGGGGAGCGACAAAATTGAGTGGATAACATTTTTGGTGACATTCCATAGATCAATGATTGCAGAAGTGGAGTCAAATAGGGTGGGTGAAGAGAGGCAGACATCGAGTGGGGCGCGTTTGGTGGTGGGTTTTTGCAGAGCACTTGCAGAGTGAATAAATTGTACGTGGAGGCGTTTCCCGAGGATTTTTCCGATGGATCTCGCGCAATATTTCTCCCCACATGTTAGATACTTGTGTTTCTGCCACTCTTCCTCCTCTTGCATGTTTGTTTTTTCGCATCGTGTGGCTCTCCACGGGCCGCGACGGGGTGTTTTGCGCGAGAGGGTGTGTGGAGAGAAAAGCAGAGGGCAAAAATTTATTTGTGTACTTCAACACCCCATGCCAGTCGGAGTCATAAATTCAGGAACGCAAAACACGAATTTATTGGCTCTATCTGGTGACATTATATTTTCTTTGTGACAACATGATTTATGCTATTAGATGATTTATTTGCAATTCCGTCTCACGGAGCGCCGATCAATGTGGTGAACGCCATCACTGACTCAAGTGTGTGTCTCGTGACCGACATCGGGGGTGAGTGTATTCAACAGGGCGGGCCGAATGTGGCTCTTGGCAAATAGAAAATTCATGCGGGGGAAATTGTTTAATTAAATTATCAAAGTAAACAGCATCCCCCATTGAAATGTTTATCAAAGGATCCAACGATGAAAGATGGTAAACATGCAGATTTGGGAAAAGGTTGCAGCCATATCTTTTGCCAAGGGGAAAGTCACTAATCAATTTTCTAAAGAAATCCTAATAAATCTCACTGAAATACTTAAAAAAAAAATCAAAATTTGAAGAGAAATAACTGCAATGTTATTGGTTTGAAATTGCGAGTGACTTTCCCCTTGTTTTTTAGCCTGCGAAACACACAAATTTGCTGGAATTTAATTACTTTCATATTAATTCATGCAATAACAATTTGTGGAAGATGAAATCTAAAATCTACAACACACTCAACTCTGCCAACGTTGTTAGCTTTAGTTTTTGTGGTCGCTCTTCATCGCCACACACACACAAGAACAATGCGATGAAGAATTGCAACAGACACAAAGTGCGGATCGTCAAGCATAAGAAGTACTAATTCAACTCACCATTCTCTCGCGTGGGGGGGGGTTAAAAATACAAATTTTTCTGCACATACTGAGTAAATATTTCGCAACAAAACACAAGATGGTAATTGGTTTCCCAACACAAAAGCGCACGCCAACCGAAAAAGCTCCTCATTTTTTCTTCTTCTCTACGCCGTCAGAGCGAGATATGAACTGTCGAGGGTGTTTTTTCCCAGGAGGGCCACAGGGCACCCATTAGCCGACCCACCCTCTTGAGAGGGAGGACTTTTAATTTTGTTATTCAAGTTTAATTTTATCTCACGACCAGGCAATTCACTCAATTTTTTAGTGCCCTTTTTGTCTCTGCGTGAGAATCTTTGCCTTTTTGGGGGATGTTTTATGAAGAGTCAATGTTTCGACATTTTATGCTTGCAATTCTTCTTCTTCTGTATGTGTGTGTTATATGGGATTTTGAAGAACAATGTGTGTTATTCTCACTGCAATGAGTTTATGCTGGGGGTGGGTAAAGCGAAGGGGGTTGTGAGGCAAATGGGTTGGAGGAGAGAGAGAGATTGTTTATCGCAAAAGCGTAAATTTCTCATGGGAGAGTAAGAAAAGTCTTGCAAGAGTGTTTTCATGGAAAACTCATAAAACACTCATCAAAAGTGGCGCCAATCTCTCACAGCGATGAGCAATTCCCTGTGCCAAATGGCACACAACCCGAAAAAAAGTGAGCTCAACGCGTTGCTTAGCTCACGAAAACGAGCTGTGATTGTTGTGAACTCAATTTGAGGCAAAACTCAGAGTCGGAGAATAACTTTGTGATCAGAAGGTTTTAAAAAAAATGCCAAGATTACAAGGAAGCTCTAGAAGAAGTGTTAAGTGTTGCAAGACACAAAGATGTTCGAAATTAATTGATGTGTCTTTGAGGCAAGGATCAAAGTGATGTGCAAATTAAATGGACAGTGTTGCCTTTACAAATAATATCCAATTGCGAAGTCTGTGACGGAAGTCACCACAGAAGATGGCAACGGTGATCAATTATTGAGGCACCTAATCAGACATCATATTAATTACTCTCAAGTGTACGTGATTGATGGACCCTTTGAAGTCAATTACCCATTCCGGGCACTCATTGATTCACTCCTCCCCCCTTCCACCCCTGGCTCTTCGGCACACGTCCACCTTAATTTGTTTTCCCACCCACTCTCTGCTTGTTTAACATATAAAGCAAATCTCCAGCACAAACTCTGGGCAGTTTTTTCTCGTCTTATATTGATTGAGATTTTGTCGAATGGGGCGCGCACTCTCAGGATTCCTCAATTGTTGTGCTCTGGGGGGGAGGGTTGTTCTTGGGGTAGCGAGAGAGTAAGGCAAGAAAAAACGCAACAACTCTCAGGCAATTTCTCTCTGACCTCCCTCGATTTTCCTGTTCTGGTCAACAAGGGTGGAAAATATCCTTTCAGTCCACTCAATCAAGCGATTTCTCTCAAGTGCCCCGAACAGAATTGCTGGACAATTTCTGCCCCTTCCCTTTAGGCACATACACACACACACACACACACACTCCATTCTTAAGTGTAATAAATGATTTCAATGCAAGCCTTCGACCCGGCAGCTGAATTACCCAGAAAAATGTGTTTCTTCAGCGAATTTCCCAGAGGAGAGCAATTTGGTGATTGTACAAATACACTTCACATTCGCTGGTATTTTGTCCGAAGAAAGGGACCAGCTTTAAATAGACTTTGGGAAATGAACTTCGCACTTTTCAACATTTCAGCGAACACAAATTGCTAAGATTTTAATTTTGAAGATTTAAAAAGCTAATTTCTTTGCTTTTTTTAGGTAAAAACTTAATAATTTGATTGATGCACAATCGATCAAATTTACAGGCTCTCAGACACATTTTATAATAACACAGAATGAAAAGTCCATGGAAATTGAACTTTCTGTTTCCTTACTAAGTTCTGATTAATGTAAAGGAATAAATTTAGCAAAATATTTAGCGAAAAAAGAGCAGGAAAACTCGGAAAATTCAAAATATTGCTAAATAAATTGATATGAATTAAATACTTCGGCTTAGCACTTTTGAGCTAAAATACCTGCTTTTTTTAGCTCTTTTTGGCTCATTGTCGAACGTCTTGCGAATATCTTTCTACGTTGGTTCCAATAATCCACAAATAACTAATTCAATATGAAATTTATTCTATTGAGTGAAGAGTGAAGTGAATTGTGTGCAGAGAAAATGTCTGGGGAAAATTCCATGATTTTGGTGTGGAAATTGAGAACCAGAAGATGGAATGTTGGACGGAATGTGTTGACTAACAAGGGAAAATCTTCATAACACGAGGTCATATTGTCAAATGGGATTTTCTCATGAGGAAAAGCCACGAGTGTTATAATTGAAATTCTCACATTGCAACTGGTAATTAGATGCACGGAGAAATTCGTCTTAGCTCAGGATATTTGTGGTATAAATGTTTGTGTTGATTCTCCCAGGAATTTCATGCGAGACGCTCGTGATTTGCTGGGAAGTGATTGTGGTCGGAGGGATAGCGATAAAAAGGGACGATTTTCTTCCATTTCTCCCGTTCATGTCCTTTTCTCCGTTGCCCGCCAAATGTTTGCCTCAAGATCACTTTTCTCCACATGACTTCACGTGGCATTCATCGTGATGTTGCCGAAAGTGGCCAAAGAGAGATTGAATCGATAGTTGTTGTCATTGGGTTTGATAACACCCAGAAATTATTTCCGCCCACTCTCGGGCGCACCCCAATTGAGAATTTAACGATGGAATTCTCCCTTGTGATTGTTTTTTTTTTGCTGTGCAATTCTGAAGATTCCATATCGAGATACTTTTTCCCGCCGCCTGAAATCTCAATACTTTTCTTGGGATTCTATTTTTTTTCACCCTTGATAAGATGGGAAATTGTAGTGGTTTCAAATTCAATTTCTCTGTTTTAAATTTTATATTACATGTCACTTTAAATATTCCATGAGTTTTCTAGTGAAATTTATCAAAGCGATGCATTTGATTGGATTAAATTATATGACGAATTCAGGTGAATAATTTAATTTCGATGGCATTCACTTTTCGTAATGCCGTGAAATTGCAGTAAACTTTAAAATAAATTTGACAGATAATAAGTTTGACGGAAAATTCTGACAGAGTTGTCACATTCAAACTGGCAGTTATGTAACGGACATCTCATCAATCATAGAAGAAGTTTTCTGCCGGTGGATTTCCACTGGGTGTGAACCTGAGTGGGTCTCAAGGGTGTCATTTGGGGAATGGGGGTGGGAAAGGGCCTCCCAATGACGACAGTCTTCCATGACACAGATGCGTGTGTGTGTGCTAAAAATTTGCCGCCGGGAAAGGGCGGAAAAAACGACCCGGAATTATTAATCGGTCTGAGTTCAATTATTAAAACGCAATTGAGTGTCCCACCCACACATTCGCCAACGTGTTCACCCCCATGTCGTGCACAGCGATGCTCAGGGGGTGGACTTATAACTCTTTTGTGATGTGCACCATTTGTTGGGTGTCGTATGGCATAATATTCCACCCGGAGAGCTGTATGCTGTCAGTGGCATAGGCGAGCCGTGAGCGGGGTTTGAGGGCTCGGGGGATGATTGATGCATCGGAACGGAGCCACCCCAGTGTTGGGCCGAGAATGCCTCTGGAGGGGCGCGCAGTTCATGCTCGATTGTGGGTTGGGATGCTTAATTTATTTTCTACTTTAATGAAAATTTCATACACCGCGCCGCTGCCGAAACATACGCTCACGTGGTAAATATTCTGATTAATTATGGTAATGGTGCGGTTGCTCCCCCCCCACCCCCCGTCCGCCAGCCCCACGATCGCCGTCATCTGAGGAGCGAGAGAAAAAGAGTTAAATGACTGTAAATTTGCCATGGTGCGGGTATTTAGCCCGTGGTACAGCGATGCCAGATGCAAGGGTGGCATGGAAATGAAAAAGGTTAACTGCGCGCGGGGGTGTTTTTGAGGCAAATGGAGCACCCTTGAAATCGTATTACCATAACAGAGTGGCTTTACACCACTCTTCCAGACTCACTCCTGACATTCTCTCCATGTCAGTCGTCTCTGATGTGAAAACATTTCCCGCAGAATTATTACCATCAGGATTAAATTTTAATCATTTGCCAAAGTTCTTTTCTCGCTGGAAAGGCAATGAAGCGCGCAATTCTGTGTTTAAAATTCCATTGACAGGGGATCGAACACTGTTTTTTTTGTTTCTTTTCCAGTGAAGTGTCAAGTTGTGAAGGGTTTTGGAATCTGTCATGCCTGGAAAGACTTGTGAATAGAGAGCATTTGTTTGGGGTGAAGAAGAGGGAAATGAAAGTTAATCACATTTTTAATTCAATATTGTCATAATTTTCATCTAAAGAGCGTGAAATATATTTTATTAATAAGAGTTTTTGATTAAATTTAAGTTTATTTGTGTCTGAACAATAGAAACAATGGAAAAAATAACGACAATTCTGTATTTGTGTACATTTATTTCTAGTCTTCGTAATCACAAAATTCTACCCCATAAAAGCTCAATTCTGAGCTTTAAGTTGAGCCATTTTTCTCAGTGTGTCTCAATTCCTATTCTCTCCCTTGTATTCTTCTCTCATTCAATGACGAGGGTATTTTGCGGTCACTGCACTGCCCTCGAGCAGATTTATATGTGATATATTGAGCGAAAAATCTCCGCTTTTCCTCTCTCTTCACAGGCAACATCTCAGGCGTATCAATCAAGAAGCTTCGCGTGCCGCCGGTTTATGTCCTCGATGACACTGCCAACGCCATTCGCAATCCGCTGATCCTCGATTGTGACTACAAAGTGGAGCAAGGCGAGTCTGGCCTGGTGGTGAAGTGGCTGCAAAACGGTCAGCCTGTGTACCAATGGATTCCCGGCTCGAAGCCCTTTCCGCTGTCGTACTTCCGTGGTCATGTGGACACGAAGTATGAGGCGTCCAAGGCGCCAGAGGCCAAACATCGCGCCATTGCCATCACGCAGCCACTGTACAACATGACCGGCAACTACACGTGCTCCGTGGCGTCATTCCAGTCGCAGGACAAGAGGACGTCATTCCTTCAGATTGTCGGTGAGTTTCTCTGGGCGAACGCGTGTTCTTTTGTGCTCGTGGCTGAATTTGAGTGTTTCTTCGCTCCAGTGCCAGACAACGACTTCCAATTGAGCTACAATTGCTGTGACGAGGAGAATGCCATCACGGTTCAGTGCTCCACGCTGAAGGTGTTCCCGGAGCCAACACTGACACTCTCGTGAGTATCTGTACAATGCTATTTGAGAACTTTGTGCACAAATTTCACCTTTGCCAACGATATTTATAAAATTGGAGACACTATATAGAAGTGTATTCCACTCTAGTCAACTGATTGACAAGACTTTCCACTATCGAATACTTTTATAGAGTATAAATTAGAAGAAATATATTGAGAAGAAGTGCTTTTTCATTTCTATATGCAAATTCACAGCTATTCTCTCTTTATTTCCCAAAAAAATCTATTCAAAGACAGTTTGAAAACCGTTGGAAATTTCATAAATAATGCAGAGCAAGGGTGAGATAATCACAGACACTTCCAGAACTTTAACTATGCCTAAAACATAAATCATAACCTCAAATTTAGGAGTTCTTGACATAAATAGTTATTCCAATTGATGTGGCCCAAATTTGTGTGTTTCAAGTGTTATTTTATAAACTAAATTGCAAATTTTCAAGCCTTCTACTTCTCAAATACTTCAGCTCAGCTGTACACCAGTTTTCATCATAATATCTCCCCCTTGGTGCATAGCAAACTGATATATTTACTGTGGAAATTGTGAGCACTCTTTGAGGGGGTGATGAAAAGCTCCCTTTGGGCTTTTTTGCTGTCCCTCATGAGGGTCAAATGCAATTTTCACGAAGACATGGTTTACGCTTTACCTCTCTCTCCTCAGGGTGGACAACATGCTCGTGGACACGGGAGAAGAGAAGAAGCGCAAGAAGCAGAACGGTCTCTTCGAGTCCATTCTCACGTGGAAGGTGAATCGCGCCCAGTTGGAACCGCCAGTCACCTTCAATTGCGCCCTGTCGATCCCCGGCACGAATTACAGCGTGCGACGCGAAACTATCTACTACGGTGAGTTTGATTGCGAAAATGGTGGGTTTGCGAAGGCGTGCTCAATTGGCAAATAAATTCAAATTGCTGCTCTTGACTCTCTCTCTCTCGCAATTTTCACAAATTGCACACTGTCTTCTCTGTCGGCAGCAAATAGAATTCCTTTTACCATTTGGAAAAGAACGCAGGACTAATTGACAAGTCACACGAATCACTTTCGCCACGGCGGTTTGTATTCATTTTGTCAAGGGGGAGATTAATATGTCTGATAAATCTGGTTTAAGATATGTCTGAACAAAACACAGTTTGGAAGCTTTCTTTTAAGCTCAAAACACTTTTTCTTCTCCATAACATAGATCATGCTAACGCCCCAGCACAATCTACCTTTCTGTTGACATTACTATTTCCCGATAAGAAGATATGGAGGGCCTCCAATGCTTTCAATTTCATCTCATATGATTTGCCAATGAGCCTCAAAAATGCTGATTGAGAGGCAAAGTTTTGAGGTTATCTTCGATCATAACACAATTTGCAGGATTTCTTGGACATCAAATGTTCAGAATTGCAATGTTGATTTTGTATGAAAGAATGCTTAAAGACTGGGGATTTCTGTTTAGCACAAGCATTTACGTACTAGAATGCGAAATATTCACTAAATCTCTTTCCCAATTCGCTACATAACCTAGATAATGAATTGTTTTGATTGATTCTACATAGAAAATTAAAAGGACTCCGAAAGAATCAGGATAATTTGGCAGTGAAATAAGCATTCAGGAAAGGAATATGGCAAGTTTGTCAACACTTCTACTATTTAAGTACTTCTTGTTGCGCTGTACACCACTTCTGGACTGTATTATCTCCCCCTTACAATTTTTTATTGAGATTATTCAATTCAGGGCATGAATCAATTTCACCACCAAAATGCTCCAGGATCGTTCGCTAACACTCGTATCTCTCTCTCTCTCTTTTCTTCTCTTTGGCCCCAAAACGACGGGTTGTTTGTGAATAAATTCACCGACATTTTAAGCGTGAAGGGAATAAGCAATGCTTTGGAAAAGATGAGAGAATATCGATTGCCTTCAGGGAGGATTTACGCTAAATCCACCCAGGGAATATTTTACAGTGCGTCTCGAAGACAGAGCGAAAAAACGGTGAAGCTTGAATTTAAAGCTCCGATGGAAGGAGAGAAAAAAGCTGTTTACACTAAAAGCACACACACACCTTGAGGAATCTCTTTGGAGTCCTCTGGATTTTGTGGGTTTTTTTCACGCCTCCGATTCACCGGCAGACTGGGATTATTTTATGAGTTTTCTCCTGGTGAATAAATGGGTATATTCCAAAGCTCTCCACATCCGGAAGTGCCTAGGAAAATGGAGAGGAGACCGGAAAAATTCATAATAATTTATTTCTATTATTTCACGCCACACAGGATTTTTCCCTGTGTGGTGGTGGGGGGAAAAAAGAGAGAAAGAGCTTCCTGTTGCCAGAGAAACTCTTAATTTGACCATCATTTATCTTCACGCCGGATCTTTAAAGTGGAAATCCACGCTACTAAATCCAAATTCTATTCCATCAGGGTGGCAAAAAAAGCTCCCCTAAAACCACCCAATGATGAGATTTCCTCCAAATATTTCCTCAATCATTTAATTAACTTCTCCCCACAAAATGATCTCTCGGCGATTACAAATTGGGGAGAAAAGCCTGCGGAGACGCAATGAAATCATTTATCTCCTTGGGCGGAGATGGAAAATGTGTCAAAAATCTGTGCCCACAAAGACGCGAAGATTGAAAGTCACGCTTTGCCCAGATTTAAATTAATTGACGCTGACGGTGAAAATCAAGGGGCAAATATTATGGTTAGAAGTGATGTACAGCGTTTACAATTTCTCTTTCAACAAATTGAGGCATTTTCTAGAAATATATTGAGAAAATCAATTTTATTGCCTTTTTATGTTATGTTATTGATTTAAAACAGATTTTAGTGTCCAAAAAACCCTCAAAATAATCCAATGTGTGTTTGAATTCATCCCAATCCATGAAGCTAAGTATTTGAAGAGCTTAAACCTCTTGTAACGGAAAAACTTGGATTAGATTGTGAAAATGCCTTTTTAGGTGCGTTCTGAAGTGTAATTTGTGCCATATTATCTCCCCCTTGGTGAAAACCGCACACGTTTTTTTCCCTTCACATTTTCTCCGTGGGTTGGAAAATAAATTTTCGTCTCGCTTGTAGTTGGCGCATCAACATCATCTGTTGATGCTCTCTTGCCGACAGTCAGCCTCCTTCTTGGCGTCTTAATTAATCACCTCCTCCGGGAGTGTCAACTTGTGTAAATGACAGCGAAAATGCTCGAAGCAGGAGGAGTGCAACAATGGACATCCAAGGCCCATCTTTCGCCTCCTCGCCACTCTCTCGCCTCATCTTTCCGCCTTGCGCGGCGACTCAAGTGGCGACGAGCACCCACCCCACGAGTAGAGGGATAAGTTTCTATATAGGTAAATGTTATGTAGGGCAGAAGATGGCATAAGATGTTATACTGAGTGTACATAAATTAAGTATTGAATGACCAAAAAAAAAGAACTAAGACAGGAGGCAAGAAGACAATTGAAATGTGCATGAAAATTATAATTGTATATGTTTTACTGTGTGAGCAACAGAAAGTCAGCGTAAAATGTCATTAGTTTCCCTCTTCACAATCATAACTAATGCCGTCTTGAATGTATTGTTGTCACTTGAACATTATACTTTCTACCCATTTTAAGCATCTCTGGGCTCTGTCAGAACAGATAAAACTGATTGATTGTGGCTTGTGTTATTAAATTTTAAATGAATTGACTTTAAATCCAACTGTCATTTCACATACGTCAATTTGCCCTACAATTGATTGCTAAGACACTACTATTCTTGTCTTGTCTTGCTGTATTTCTTCCCTAATCTTCACAATTTCAATCATCTTTGAACTTTGGATCTTTCTCAATCTGATTTGCACAATCTATTGGATCGTTGGAACATTACGGATTTCATATTTCAATTTGTAAATTCGAAATACAAACTTAACGCTTTTCATAGCTTATATTGATGACCGCCTGGCGGCGCTAGTGTAAAGTACGAATGAAATACGAACGAGAAAGCGTTGCAAGGCGAAATTGGGAGTTTCTGGCCAGTGAATCCGCGACTTTTCCTGACATTAGGCGTATTTTCGATGGGATTCTTGAAGGATTCTGCTAGCCAGAATGTTCAGGAAAATATCTTTTTGTTGTGAAATGTACGAGTGAATAATAAATAGAATCCAAAAGTACTTCTAAATGCTGTCCTAACGCTGTTAGTTTCACATAACCTCAATTTGGTGTATTGAAATGCGTAAAATTGCCAGAAAAATTCAATTTATCTTATGTTTATCTGTAATCTGTTTTTCTGTAATAGAAGATAAAATCTCGTCAGCATTAGTAAATGTTATGAATCGTAATGTTGCAACGTCTTGTTTTTTTTTTTTTTAAAATTCATAACTTCAAGAAACTTTCAGTGTTTTTCTGTCTATCCGTTTCGATCTTTGCAACTAAAATGCATCTTGTTATGTGTGAAATGACATCTGGTGATAAATTATCTTGAACGTCACGTGAATCAAAAATTTTTCTTATTTCCCTGTGAAAAATGGGAAACAGAAACACAAGAATGATTTCAATATAACTTCTCATTGTCACTGTTAAGCTGTGAGATTAACAATATACACCAAATAATATTGTACTAAGTGGAAGTAATTAGGTGTTGAATAATTAAAAAAAAAAATACACTTTGACACATCATCAAATGAAGTTGCAATTTTAACTCAATGTTTTATCAGGTTTTAATTAGACATTGCGATGTATTTTCATGATGTGTTTTTCATTGGGTTTTACTTTAATTGCAATTTGAGGCACTAACGAGAATGGCAATCGAGAGATAAATTCGGAAAATTAACATCGTAGAGCATTTGGAAAAGGATGAACGTACAGCAATTCAGTGATTTTTGTATTTTTTTTGGTGAAAAAGAAAAATATTTTCTCTAGTTTTAGGTGAAAAATTGGAAGTGAAGATGAGAAATTATGTGAATTATGGCCTTTTCTAAACCAATTGGACGACGTATAATTATTAATTTCCCTCTGGGCGGAAAGTTGGAGATGAGAAAAGGAGGAAAGAAAACTAAATTTGTAATATATAGTTATAATTATATTTTAGGAATTGTATAAAATTGGCATCTAATATATATTGTTGAATTTATTCTAAGGCGCTAAGATAGAGACACAATCGAAGAAGAAGAAAAAAAACTAACGAAGAAAAACCACCCAGAAATCTTTTGAGCGACGAAAATATTTTAATATTTTAAGAGATTTAATAAAAAAAAAACGAAATGCTACTTAAAAAGTGACTCTCTCAAATTAACTGTGAATGAAAAGCGAATGAATGGCATGAAATGCTTCATTGATGAAATTGTTATTCCAGCAACTTTATTTACTATTATTTGTATCGCGTGAAAATTTGTTATTTCATTCGAGAAAAAAAATGCACGCGGCAAATTTAATTTGGGAAATTTCATGAATAATTTCTGTGTCAATGTATAAAAAGTGGAAAAAGGGCGGGCAAAATAAAAAAAATAAAAAATTCTGATGGTGAAAAATTGATGGGAAATTTGCATAAAATACACCAACTTCACGTGCAGACAGAAAAATATATACAGTGGTGAAAATTCACTTAGGACACTCAGATGGAATTTTGTGTCAATACTTTTTTTGTGTCAAAAAATGCGACATTTCTACCAATTGTAGGGACATTTATCTTAAGACAAAAAATTATTGGAATTTTATGATTTTTCAAATGGCGTTGAGATCATGGCGATATCTCTGCTAAAAATTTAATGATTTTACTAAAAAGTAAAATTATCCATTTTTTCTGCGAATCTTCCATTTTTCGCAATTTTATTGTAAAATTTTACGTTTTTTTGACAAAATAGAATCAATTGACAGCTGACAGCGGAATACGAAGCTAGTGTGGCGCTAGTGTCGACAAAGAAGAATAACACCTGAGTGTGTTTAGCGTCAGATCAGCCATAAATTATTACGCAAGTCTGTATAATTGAAAAATATCGAATTCATTACAATAAGAATTAAAAATGTCCTATTAACTTTTTCGCCACTGTGAATATATTGAAAGCGAGAAAAAGAAGGAAAAAGTTGTGCGAAAAGGGGTTGTGCCGACGAAAAAGGGGGGTTGAATGTATAGAGAGAAATAAATATAGTGGAAAAATATTTATGATAAAATTATGGAGATGTGATATTTTGTGTTTCGCATCATTGAACCACAATTGGATTTATCAGTGGCCAATGCAAAATATGCAATGGCCAACAATGACGGAAATTTGCATAACAATGTAAGGGATTGTGTGCATGATTTTTGGGGGTTTGGGAAATTGCCTCAAAATCATGTTGCAAATGAAAAAAGGAGAGAGTGAAAAGGAATCCCGCGCATTCATGTTGTGAATGATGAAAGAAAAAAAAATACCTATAGAAAATATGTGGACTTTTTTGTCGCTGACATGAGAAGAAATATTTGTAAATAATATTTAATGAGATGATATAAAATGAAACATTTTCAATGTAAACCAAAATATATTGTGTTTTATTCTCTCCCGGTAAACCCGTGAACCCAGAAAGTCCTCATTGATATTCATGAAGCGCCTCCTTTTTTCTGCTGTTTTGTTTATCCAATTGATAACATTGCTTTTGCAGCCTTTGCATTTTATTTTTCCACAGTGCAAAAATATGGTTTATAAAATGAAGTGATAAAAATACCCCAAATTTCGTTGACAATTCATATTTTGATTCCCTTTTTCATTCCAGCTTCAGAGTGTGTTGCAATTTTCATTTATGCAAACCTTATCTTTCCGCTCGGGCGGAGCTTTTTGATACAAAAAGCATATTTTAAAATATATATCAAATTGAATCCACACAAATACAAAAAGACCGCAAAATGCGTCTGGCGTGCAAAAGCACAACTATTTTCGAACACGCTTGTTTCATTTTGTATGTATTTTTTAACATCTTTCATGCATATTTTTGCATCACTTTCCGGAAAAATTTTTCATTCAAAAACGCTTAATTACATTAGCGTCAAATCAGTCTTCAAAGTAATGATAGAAGATGCTAAAGAACATTGACCTGTTGGACAACAAAATCTGGTTCTTTTCTCTACAAAAGAATGAAGCTAAGAACATTTTCTTGTTTGTTCAATTTTGAATAAACTTTCAGGTGAGATTTTTTTCAATGAGAAAAGCTTCAGTCTTATTGGCATTAAAAAAGGTAAGTAGACGAAAATTTTCTCATATATAAATAGTTTAGAGATGTTATCAACAAGGCGGAGATATTGTGGTCAGATGTGGTGTACAGATTAGTAGAAGTTTAAGGAAGTGGAAATGTTTTAGTTTTTGCAATATTTCGTTCACAGCTTTGATTTTACATCTATTTTCTTTTACTCTTAAGTTTTAATTTTTTTATATTTTTCTAGGTTATGTAACTGATTTTGGACTAAAAAAAATATTCAAAAGTAAAAATTTTTGTACCTAGATTCAAAAGATTTTTAACTTTATTGCTTGACTTCGGTTTTAGTCTACTCAATTGTAGTGGTGTACAGATTTAAGCCACAATATCTTCCCCTTGGTTATCAAGAAGTAATGCAAAGTTTCCTCTTATGTGGGAGAAAATGTACAAACAGTTGAGGATAATCTAACTTGTTGCAAAATTAGTGGTTTTTACCTCCCCAAAAAGTTATTCATAGAAGAGCTATTTTCCGTTGTTACCAAAAGGTGCGGCTTAACATGTAAATCATCCGCCAAAGAAGTCGCAGTGAAAGGAAGTTTCAGCTAAAATGTGGTAAAAAGTGCAGACAAAACTGGAGATGGTTTGGTATTTTCAAAGGCAACTGTTAGAAAGAAATTCGAATGCATGAAATATTTTCATGATTGGACGCAGAAGAAAAGCGCCTCATTAAAGAATGCCAAGTGACAAAGTGGTGCAAACCACGCGAATTAAATAAATTCTCTCACACTTATGAGCATTCTTGGCGGGGTGAGAGAGAGAGAGTGAGAGTGACAAGGTATTTCGGGGGGAAATTTGTCGTCATTAGAGTAGCAATGTTTTTCCCTCATTTTGCAAAACTTTCCAACGACACGAATCACAATTGGATGAGCTTGAAAACATTTCCCATCAAATTATAGTGTACTTTTTCCAATGTTGGATTGTAGTCTAAAGCATTCTGCATTATGAATTCACAAAATGGTAGAAAATATCACAATAGAGACAGAGTTCCACCTTTCTGAACAAATGAGTTTATTTTAATTTTAATACAAATTGTACATTTCATTAAATTCACGCAAGAGAGAGAAAGAAGAGAGAGAGAGAGAAAATAGGAAAAACTTCCACCAAACAGTTTTTGAATAATTTTCCGTGTGTTAAATTATTTTGCAGAACTTTGCAATAAATTTAATTGAAAACTTAACCTCACACTCTGTACCTCATTTGCTACCCCATTAATTGAGGGTTTAGCCTGGTTTTCCTTCACCTTGCGTTTCTCGTCGCTCTAACTCATATTCTCGCGAAGGTGTGCGACGATAACGTCCTCACATTCGTCATGGTGGACGCATAAATTAATATTTCTCACCTCCTAATTACATAATCACGACTTAAATCTCGTGGTAGCACTCCAATTCCATGCCCTAAAGTCCTTACTCACTGCGAGAGAGTGAAAAAAAAAACAAACAAACATCCAAACCAAAGTGTTAAGAAAATGCTTCCTGGGCACAATCTGGAATGGAAAGTTCCATTAATGCATTTGCCACACGTGAAAATAATCCAAAAAAGCTCTGCATCATTTCTGGGGTGGAAAAAGCTGTCTCTCCTTGCGTGAAGATAAATCAATGTTGTGCACAGAGTCACGTTTTGCATTACATATGTATATCTTGTGTTTTTCAGCTCTATCTCGTCTGGGTTTGTGTGTGCAAAAAATTTCGGATAAATAAAACTTGTTGGATTTGAGAATTGAGAGACGTGCTTTCGCGCTTTTGACTTTCATTTCCACAGAGTGGCGCTGTATCAAAAGCTCTCCGAAAGGTAAATATTTGCTTTATCAATTAAAGGGAGTGAGATTGCAAGTGTAAATATTCGAGTCTGATCATCATGCTTTTCAACAGCACAAAAGAGTGGAAATTGCACGTTGAGTTATAAAGAATTGATGGAAAGCGGAGAATCACACTGAGAAAAATGTATAACCTGTAAAATAACGTTGTATAATTGTGCATCTTTATTCTTTAAAGATAATGACTAAATTGTGACCTCGAATCGCGTTTTCTTCTTGCTGGGGTTTTCCTGCTGAGAAATATGGCTTTTCTCGGGTGGTGCAAAATCCAGGTCGCTGGGAAATCAACTTTTCCATTCCACACAGTAGGACAGTTGCAGTGGGGAATTGAATGGAAATTGAAAAGTGATTGAAGGTGAAATTTCATTTTGTCGCGCGCGCGGCAAGAGGAAATTTTCCTCACACGATGGCAAAATCGCGAACCCCACAGAGAGAATCCATCTGGGGGCCTTGTGGGTGGAGGTGGATGCCGATTTATGCGGCCATCCCAAGTCTGCAAGATGCGAAATGGCCTCTTCAGGATCTATTGTTGCTCCTCCTGTGCTGTAATATTTCGTGTAATGCAATTTCAACATTTTTATCACCCTCAGCCAAGCATTTTTATGCTGAGACACTGTCATAAGAGCCCGTGCGCTATTGGAGGCTCTCCGCCCATCCTCAACTCCAATGTTAGTGGGCCATAATACGCTCACGATGATGTCTGTTTTGTCATTTTATTCCACTCCCCATCCACCCCCCAAAAAAGAAACCCCATCATGTGTGTCTTCAGCGGAGCCGCGCGCGCTCTTCCGCGCCGCCCAGCGAATACGAACCATGTGGAAAATGGTAAGAAATTTCATGTGAATTTATAACGCAATTCCAGATACAATGTCCTTGTGGAACAACCACCCCAAAAAGCGCACCCTCTCCCGACTTTGCTCACTGGGATGCAGAGTGATTTCACCGCCCAGCCCAATGGATATCAAGTAACGATAAAAGGGGATGAAATGGAGGAAACACTTTGCACTTTAGAGAGACTTTTCGAGAGCCAAACTCTTGGGAATTTCCCGAGGGATTTGGGGTTTGAGGGCTTGCTAAATGGAACAATTTTGAGTAATTAGTGCCTTCCACCCCTGGGAAGAAATGACGACATATTGCGTGCCCAGTAATCACATATGATTAACTTTTCACGTACTTTTTCATCCACACTATGCTAATATTTTCCGTGATCCCACAATTTAACTGT